CTGCCATCCACTTCTGCATCCCACGGATTATAGAAGGCACAGGTAAATAGAAAGAGGCAACAGATTCCAAGTGCTGTCTGTATTGCAGGGTCTCAGACTCCTGCAAGGAGTTCAGAAGAGAACATGGGAGGATTCACAGGCTGATCCTGGATATAAGCATCTACAGATTTTACTAATTGTAGACCTGATCCAAGGGCAGCTGGGATGCCTTATCACTCCACCACCAAAAAGTCATCATCAATGTCTGCCACCTACTTACCTAATGAGTTTTGAGTGTACTATAGTAAGCATAGCATATATACTGTCTGAGTATAACCATGGTGTAATATACCCAGGGCAAATGGAAGAGATGACAGTAGATGAGTGAGCAAAGATGAACAGACACATTACCTAGGCTCATGAAACTCAGAACCCTAAGCTTCTACTGCAGATATCACCAAGTCAGGAGCACTTCAAGAAGAGAGTGGTAGCTCTTCATAAGTCCTGGAATATGGCATCATTCCTTTCCAATGCTGATGTATAACACATATAAGTTCTCAGCGAGGAAACCAGCCAACAGATGCTAACCATTTAATAATGTGTAGCTGGAGGAAGGCAACTTAAAAGACAGCCTTACATATTGTGATAGACCAAAAGGTCTCTGAGGAGTGAGTTTTAGAAAGCACCCTGCCTACAAGTTGCTTCTTGCTAGAAGCCAGGGAGGCCTTTTAAAGACCGCTTCTTCCCTAGCAGCTCACAGTGGCCTAGACAGTCACAAGAGCTGTGTAGAAAACCTTACAGGGCTGGAGAAACTGCCCAGTCCCAGGAATTTCTGCATCTGCAAGTGAAAAGAGAAATACCTTCTGCTCTAGAAACACAAATGAAAACCACTAGTCTTTAAGAGAGGATATTTGAGTGACTGCAGACAGGGACTGGGATCCTCTATAGTTTGTGTATTAGTCTTGATATTAAAAAAAAAAGTCAACTAAATCAGCAGACAACACAAAACTAGAATGACAAGGAAGGAAAAGAAATGACTGCGATCAGAATGAGGAAAAAGTTAATTCTCTTGGCCACATTCAGTCCAAAAGAGGGCTAGAAATTAATGCCCCAGCCGCAGTAATATTTGTTGAGTGAACAACATTGATCAGAGAGAGAACTCACTGTGCTAGAGAAGGAACACACATAGGGTTGAAGAGATATAAAATCAATTAAATTAGTAAGTACAGAGGTGAGTTTGCAAGTTGAAGAGGCCTTTGGGAGAGACAGTGAAAGCAGGAGGAAGCAGCCAGCAGGTTAGTCTGCATCCTCTCACCACAGGAGGGAGAGAAGCCAGGAATACAGCTGCAGTTTTACCAAATAGAAATTTTGGTAGGGACTAAATTGAGCTTGGGTCACCCCACATTGCCCTGGCAGTGGGAACTCTCCTCCTTTTTACAATAAAGCATTACAATATGAAGAATTAAAAAACAGCCATATGCAAATGAAATTAATAGTAAGCAATGGCCCTGCAACACAAGGTCAGCAGGAGGCGCTTAGGAAGAGTCTATGCAGCAGGAAAAGGATGCAAACATGAGGGAAGTACTTACACTGGACATAAAAAGGTTAATCTTAGCTGCATAATTGAGAAAACATCTTCACATTGTGCAACCGGAAGGCTGTCCCACTAATTTGGGTTTAACTGGCACCAACCTACATATTTATTGTCACCATTGCACAGAAGGGATAGTTGACTTAGAAGTAAGATCTCCCTTTTTTGGTGTTCTGCATAAGGAAATATAGCAGCTGGGTGAATTGGACTGGCCTATCGGAAGGATTAGATGAAAGGGAAATCGATACAGTTATGTCTGCATCTTTTTGGTAGTGGCAGTGGTAAAGGATCAGAGAGTAACTTTCCGATACAGCATGCTGAAACATAAACATTTGTATATTTGTGTTCATAATCTAAGTTAACTACTTGTTCATAGTTCAGTATGTGTTTGTATGCATATGTATATAATTTTGTCACTCAAACCTTTGTTACTCGGTCAGCCTTAAAAAAGAAAATAGTATTCATGTATTACTGATACGAACTATCTGCTATCAAGAATCTGCAATTGTCAGCCAAGAACCAGACTTTTCTTACCCTCTTCTTTCCATGGCATAAGAACACTGAAAGGAATGGTAGGTACATTTAGCCATGCTATTTAAATTGTTTTCCTCACTCTCTTCAGCATCCTGTCTTCCCCAAGTTGAAATCAGGTAGAAGAAAAGCTTGCATGATGCAACTCAACCATATATTGCAAGCCCTGTCCTCAGCTGCGTGGTGAATGTGCCTTCATCAAACAGCTCCTCCACTGGCAGAGAACCCTGTCTACAACACATGGCCAGAGCATGCAACGCAGCCCTGCTCAGGTCCCCCTTTCAGCCCAGGGCCCCTGCTTAACTGACACCCAGCTGTGGCTGGCTCCCTCTTTTCCTAGGGAATCAGACTTTGTCTTTACTGTTCTGCTTAAAATCAGGTGTCTTTTCATCCAATCTGTCCAGAATCAAAATGGAGCTCTCCACCAAAACATGACTATCACCTGCCTGGAAATCTTGGTTCCATATCTTGTCCTCAGCTCCAGTGCTTTGGAAAGTGATACTCCTTCAGAGCACATGTGAGTTCATTCAGAAACCAATCCTACACTCGGCTATCTCCACATCCCTGGATCCAGCCATGAGCGTGGCAGGAGGCCTTCAGTTCACCAAAATTCAATGACTGACAGGCAGCTGGACATCAGAGAGAGTGAGTCTGCACCTCTGGAAGCTGATGCAATGAAAGAATTTGGAGGATTTCTTGATACTTCTTTGGCAGAGCAAAACTAGAGAGGAGATCAAGTGTTTGGCATGTAGCAGATGTTTAATTAACAGATGTTGAAAGAAAGAGAGGAAAAAATGAGAGAAAAAAAAAGCAGTTCTTTGGCTTCTCTCCTGCATGTCTCGGTGTCATTTGAGCCTTAGCTTAAGAGGATCAACAGATCACGCCTATATCCTCAAATGCGACACTTCTCCTCTCAGACTTTCAATGCATTTATCACATTACTTAGGTGAGTCTACACATATAATTGAAGCACATCATTCCCAGAGCACCACAAGTGACACCAGTCACTACAAGGCCAGCGCTAGGAGGCGCCTGGCTAATCTGAATGACAGGGCCTCGGGACAACCTTCATATCTCAAATGAAGAGTGACTGTGCTCATCAACAGCTGGTGAGGTCCTCATAGTGTTTGGGGGTCACAGCTAACCCCTGGGCATGCTGCCAAGTAGCTGGCACTGGAGACTTTCTCACCCCCTTTGGGAGCTTTAGTATAGCAGCCTGTGACTTTTTGGCAAAGTCTCTCAGTTCTGCCTGGCCCATCCTGTCTGGGGAAGGACGCAGCTTAGCACTGTCATCCTTTGTACCCACAGAGGATTGGTCCAATCCCCACCCCACCCATGGGTACCAAAATACATGAGTGCTCTATTTTCTTATATGAAATAGCATAGTCTTTGAATATGACTTTTACATAGCCTCCCATATATTTTAAATCATCTCTGTATTACATAATTAAGACAATCCATGTAAGTAGTTGTTAGACTTTATTATTTAGAGTATAATTCCAAAAAGAAACAAGTCTATACATAATTAATATAAACACAGTTATCACAGGACTAACTACACAGTCTCTGTCAGCAACAACGTAACAGTGTTTTAGAATATCTTCCATCTGTAATTATTTGAGTTCATACATACACACTCTATGGCCAGAGGGTTGATCATCATGGACACTTACTAGCTACTTGCATGAACATGCCTCACACAATCCTTGCTCTGTGGACACTGAAATCTGCTTACATCTCTCCTACAATGTAGCATTTCTTATTCTCTGCAGTAGAAAATATCCAGATCTCCTCTTAAAGGCTGTTTTGTATAAACCACTCTGTGCCCTATCTACTAAGTTTTAAACAGGTAAATTCAGCATACAAAGACCGAGAAAAGAACAGACAGAAACACAGGCACCTTAAAGCAAAGCCAGGCTCTTTGAGTGTCCATGAGGAGGGAGATTATCCTAAAGGCATCTACTTTCAGGGGGACTCGCTGAAGGCAGAGAAGGCGACAGTCCTTTGTGAGCACCTACCCAAACTGCCTTCCTGACTCTCATTTCATAATTTGGACTCTGTGTCAACCCTTGGATACTTGCTAAAATCATACTTGGGAAGGCAGAGAGAGTGCCTAGTCACCTTGCCTACCTTCTGTTCCTCTATGGAAATCCCTAATACGCCCGACAGGCAGCTAGACAGGCTTGTTGTATAATCCAGTGCAGAGCCTTCCAAATATTTCTGATTACCAAGAGCATGATGAAACCCAGATCTCTTGACTGTACAAAGCTGAAATCAGAATCTAGGGAAAGGCAGTCTGGGAGCCTAGATTTTCAACTAACACACGTGGTGAGTCTCACAATTAGCTAGGTTTCTTATGGGCATGGTGTGGTAGTTCCTCAAAGAGAATGTATATTTAAATGAGTTAGGAAGCTTTAAAAATATGTCAGTGACAGGCCTTCAACCCTAGATATTCTTACTTAATTGACTGGAATCCCAGGTGGTATAATTTTTTAAAGCTCCCACCTGACTCTAATGGGCAGCCAGCACTGAAGGCCACTATAATAGATTCTCACACTGGAAAGAGCTCTCTGAGGTCAGTAACCAAGAACCGTATACTTAGTATCCCTCATTGTATCCTGCCACCAGTTGAGCCAACAGACTTAAAACTTCTAGAACAATCTCATATAACCAGTTTGCTCACATATCCAGCAATGTAATCTCCCAATTGTATGAAGAAGCTTATGCACTTTGACTTAGCAAGAGTCCAAACTAAGGAGGGATGCACATTGCTAAGACTTCTTACAGCTTAGACGCACTACGACATATTCCCAGCCCTTTCAGAATACCAGCCCCAACAAGCCCCAAATCCTCCCTACAGGCCTCGGCCCACCCCCATCCTGTGCACCGTTCTACTCACATTGTACAGCACAGTGGTCCACCCTTCCATGGTGATGCACTGGAAGACGGTCAGCACAGCAAAGAGGATGTTGTCAAACTGGGTGATCCCGTCATTGGGGCCGATCCAGTCCTTGCATTCATAACCGGCTGGGCAGCCTTGCACACCACATGGGTGTGGGGGATCAAATCCTTCTAGAATACCTGCAGACACATTTGGAGGGGTTGAGGGGAAACCAGACGGTGTTTAGCATAGTGGAAATGCCCCCAGGAAACCACAAGACAGACACCTGCTGCCTCAAGCCCCTCTTCTCTCTGGCCTCTCTGGACCTCCCATTGTACACACCGTGTTCAACCCAAAATCTCCCAATCTCTTAGAAACATGAAGCCTCCTCTCCATGTGGCCATTTACTTCTGCAGGCCCTAAACTCCACCCTAGCTTTTAGTGAATATGTAGAACTGAATCACATAAAACGTTAAAAAGTGAAGGTAGAACCTTCTGATTTTCTAACTTAAGATGCCAGGAAAAATCCTGAATTCTCTCTGGGATTCTTTGGGACAGTTACAAGCTACTTGGTTTTAGCTTCTTATTTTCCTGGCATGCATTTCTGGTTTTTAATAAAAATATGGAAGATTTTCATAAAAACATCATACCTATTTGGGATTTTTCAACCTGTTCCCCCACTCCCTTTCCTCTTAGGAAAAAGCAAATCAAATAAAAAGATGAGAATTTGAGGCTTGTGCATCACATTTAACTTCCAAGTGCACTCGCTAAGCTAAGCTTGGAGCTCCCTCAGCTCTTCCATACTAGGTGTGAGTCAAAACAGACAGCAAGGAGCTCACGAGACAGGGCATGGAGAAAATGTCCCCATGCCTCCAGCAGGATCCAAGTCTAACTCTGGTACCCTGGGTCACTCTGGCTTGTGGGCCCAACATGCCACTTTATAAAAGGTATTTATTCAGACAGGTGACTTTTGACATTCGTTCCAATAGCCCTCTAACATAGGATGGTGGAGCTGAGACCACCTGTTTAATATCCCAAATAAAAATCTGAAAGGTTATTTGCTTTGTAATATCAGTGTCAAGTAGGGATCTGTAAGCTGGCTGTGCCTCAAAAGACTGTGATTGGGAAGTTGTTGATTCTAATTCTAGGGTAGGGATAAAACACACTTTCCAACCAGGTTTCAAAATGGCCCCCAAATTACCCCTGTTCAGAGGAGAGGGAAACAGAGAAAAGACAGAAAGCAGCGTCCTTACCTGAATTATTCATGAAGCATGCCCGATGTAATTTCCCACTGTAGAATTCCAAGCCAATGATAGCAAACATCAGGATGGCAAAGAAGAGCAGAAGGCCGATCTGCAGAAGAGGCACCATGGCCTTCATGATGGACTTCAACACAATCTGCAGGCCTAGAGGGAGAAAAGAGAATGACATGGAGTCTGTTTTATAGCCCATGGCAGGGCACACCCTGTTCACCCTGTCACAGGCAGTGTGGGGAACAAACCACTCCACTGGTCCTAAGATGAAAAGAGATCAATCAGGACACATAAGCCAAAACCAAAACCATCATCTCTTCTCTTTCTCCCTATTTCCTTGCTCCCCCGCTTTCCTTGCTCCTTACCAATCCCTGACAAGTTACATGCCTATTGCTGTCCCTCCACTTCATCCATGCTGCTTTCTGGACTTCTCTTTATAGATTAAATTTAAATAAGTGAATAAGTGACTAATTAATGAATATAAGATGTGCTCCTTTCCTGAAGGAAATTAGGTCTACCCTTGCTCAGCTATAAATCCTCTGGGTGCAAGGACACAGCCAAACTTTCCTGTCATGATCTCGGACCCAATCCACCCCTCCACTGTGGGAAAAACACAACGGGGGCAACCACTGTTCAGAAAATACCATGGCTTTTGACCCAAACACTGTTTCTAGACTTTCTTCTAGGAAAATGACCAGGGATTTTAATAAAGAGTTAAGTAAAAGGATATTTGTTGCAGTACTCTTTGCAATTGAAAAAAAACTGGAAATAACATTTTTATTTATAGATTGCCCACTCATATAAAGATCATTAAATAAATCGTGACACATATGATTTTTTTAAAAAAATTTAAATATTTTATTTATTTGGTACAGGGTCTCACTATGCAGCTTGGACTCATAGTAATCCTCCTGTCTCAGCCTCCCCAGCTCCGGGACTACAGGCATGTGCCACCACACCTGATTTCAGTGGCTGGCACAGCATACCTGGGGTTCCAGGGCTGGCATGGCGTGTGGCACTGGGGATCGAACCCGGATCTTCGTGCTTACCAGGAAGGCATTTAGACCACTGAGCTATCTCCCTAGCCCAACACATGAGAATTTTTAAAATCAAGAAAATAAAAATTTTATTTCAGCATACAAAACTAGATAAGACAATAATTCCAACTATTCAAATCGCAGAATAAGGTATGCAAAGACAAAAGCTACACTAAAATGTTAGTGAAAGTTATGCTTACGTGATAGAACAGAGTGGCTTTCAATTTCTTTTGTTGTTTACTTTCCAAATTTTTATAAAGATTTTCTATTATCTTTTAAATTTGAAAAAAAGTTAAATTTTAAAGTGAAACTGCTCTATCTCCACTGTTTATTACCATGGGGGCTTCTTCCTAGGAGAAATTGTTCTTTGCTTTGTTTTGTTTTGTTTTTCTGCACTAGGTATCAAACACATGGCCTTGGACATGCAAGTCCTCCGCCACTGAACTACACCCAGCCTTGTTCATCACGAATTGCAGATTTCCTGAAGCACATGAGTAATAAGTTGCCGGCAGAGCAGGAAGAAGAAGCAAATGCTCACTAGGAATCCCTGACACGAGCTTCAAGGGCCTGAGTACACGCACTGCCCGGAGGGTCCTCAGGTCCACGTGGGTGTTGAAGTGGGTTCCCGCAGTGGCCAGGATGCTGCAGATGGAGACACAGAAGAGGAAAGGTCAGCACTGTCTGGGTGCCTCAGGAGAGCTGGGCTGCGGCAGGCTTGGCCTGGAAAGCACACCCAGCCTGTGCCAGCTGTACGTGGGTGCACCTGAGCCAGCGTGAATCACCAGTGGTGATAAGTGCAGTTAAATTTAGCCACTGGGTTTCAATTTGCAGAGAAGGAAACCTCATCCTCATACCAGGAGCCTACTCCCAGTCCGGCACAGAAGTCAAGGTTCCAACATCCATCCCATGCCTTACCCCGGACCTTGCTTCTTGCCAAGCTCCTTCCCTTCTTCCTACCTCTCATTTTTTTGACAGCAAAGTTTTCATAGATTCTTTTGTCTCCTGACTCGTTCAATGAATTCCTTTGAGTTCAGTACAGTAAAGGAGTAATTTGCTCTTGTCTACCTTGATACTTAGAATTGCTGCTAAACAAATCAATCACACTGATGCTTATGATTGGGAATAAGCTCAGTGGTCCTCATATGTGATCAGTAATCTTATATTTCCCACCAATCACTTCTTGGCATGAACTGGGTTCCTTTGCTTCTGTTTTTTGTTTGTTTGTTTGTTTTGTTTTGTTTTGTTTTAGTACAGGGTCTCACTGTGCAGCTCAGACTCATAGTGATCCTCCTGTTTTCAGCCTCCTCATCACTGGGATTACAGGCATGCATCGCTACTCTCAGACTCAGTCACCAGCTCAGCACACCCAGGGGCGGGACCAATGAGGCATGAGGTACCAGGGATTGAACCCGTCCCTGTGCTTGCCTAAATAGGCTCTTAGTCTGCTGAGTTGTATCATCAGCCCTGCTTCTGTTTGTCCCACTTCTGGTAGCCATATCCAGAAATGCATACACAAAGAAATTAAAATCTAGAAGAACCCATTAGACTGTGCATGCCAACTACCTTGTGTTTAGGAGACTCTACATTGCACACAATCTTGTTCACATACTTTGGGGAGACAAAGGTACATGCACACTTTTGAATGACACAATGGAAAACTTGCAAGTGTAAGAACTGGTTTAGATCGTAGCTGAACTTAAGAGCTGGGCAACCTGATACAAGACCCTCAGCCTCCAGGAGCCTTTTCTTCACTTACCAGGTGAAGGGTGAGCTAGGTGTAGTGATGTAATCCACTGAACCTGGGAGACTGAGGCAAGGCAAATGCCACAAGTTCAAGGCCAGACTGGGCTACACAGTGAATTTAATGCCAACCTTAACTACAAAAATGAGACCCTTTCTAGAAAAAAACAAATACAAACCAAATAGTGATATCTATCATAGCCTAGTCATAGAAATAAAGTGACAGGAAATTAATAGTGTTCTATAAATTATAATGTGCACAATTGATATTGTTTCTGGCACAAAGATTTCTAATTTTAATTAATATCATATTAATTTAAAATTTGCTAGCTTTAATCTTCATTCTGTGAGATAACACTTTTTATCTCTCATAACCTCTCCAGGACTAGCTTAGCTACACAGATCCACTGAGAAATGAGGCACTCATAAAACTTGCTTTTCTATTATACTGAAAGGAGGGCAAGAATGGTTTATTTCACTTAAATGTTTTTGATGGAACCATGGTGAAATATGGAGAGTATAAAAGAAGATACTTGAAGTACCTTCAATATCTGACATGTCATCAATACTGGCAGGAGAGCTGCGTGAAAGATTCATGCGCAGTGGCTCTGGGAAGCAGATGCAGGATGAACAAGTACCAGTAATGCAGATGTGGCACAAGATAACCTCACAATGGCTGGGAATGAGAAGCGCTGACCACCAAGGTGATGTAATGCGTGTTCCATCCTCAACAGTATTCAAAGACACCCTGCAGAGCCACCATTAAGTAAAGAAGGGGCCCACACTGGATTAAAAATTATTTCAGTGCCCAGTGGAGAATTTTTTTAACTTTAAGATCCTACAATTCTATGTTCATACCACTTCAAAATAAGACAGACACACAGACAGACAGACAGACAGACAGACAGACAGACAGACAGACAGACTTTTGCAACTCTTAAGGACCTTCTGGAGCGGCACAAGCTTTCCAAGTCTTTCCTGCCTCCCCTGACCCAAGCTCCCACACTAGCCTCTGAAAAAGTTACTTAGAAGCTCCAGCCCCTGGCACTGCTTTGACTCTCTCTTCCAGAACCAAAGAAAGAAGTTAGGGTGGTATGGGCCATAATAATTTCTAATAAATGTGGAAAAACTGAAAGAGAAAAAAAGAGCAAGGAAAAACATAGAAATAGGACTGAAAATAGGACAAAAGTGTTTTGGAGTTCTGTGGGCTTTGTGTTTTGTTTTTGTTTTTTTTTTGTTTTTTTTTCTAAGAATCAGGAGAGAACTCAATAAAGAGGGAACTCAAGGAGAGGTGTAGTGGTAGAGAATCATGGGAAAATGGGGTCATTGTTCTGCTTCCTCGTCTGCTGAAGAGCAGGCTTCCAGCACTGAATCTCCTCTGCCGCCCAGGTGCAAGACTCTCCTTTTACTGTTTCTTACAAACACAGTGTGAAGAATCTGCCCTGAACAGAAACTAGAGTTCTGTTTCCTAGGATACCCAGACACACATGAGATGTTCTTTTATATTATACAAAGAGCTATTGGAAATGAAAATTTCCTCCTCAACCCTGAGTTTAACAGCTGTGTCTCAGAACACGGAGGTAGAGACAGAAGGATGAAATTAAAAAGCAAAGAAGACTCAAAGGTAAGGATAAAGGAAAAAAATAGTTACAAGGAAAAGGGAAAGAGAATGAAATGATACGAAAGTGAGCAGTAAAAACATAGAGAGAGAGAGACAAGAAAGGAAGAAGAGAAAAAACTGGTGGAGAAGTAAATGTAACAGAAATGGGAAGGCCTCCATGGAAAGAGAAAACAACATCAAGCTAACCTCAAAGAGAGAAGCAAACTACAGTATGTGTTGCGGGGGCCTCACAGAGCCGCCACGAGAAATGGTCATGCTTTTGCATGGTGAAGCCTTCAGCTTAACCAACGTACCCCTCAAATTTTCCCAAACCCAACTGAACTGCAACTAGGATTATGCATCCTGTGGTCTTGCACTTTCTTGCCTCTTATAGAATTTTTTTTTCTCTAGTGCAGGAGAGCTATGAAGAAGACCTATCAGCCATTAGCTGCTCCCTGATTGCCACTGCTCGAAATCCTTGAGGGCAGGGATTACAATGGACTCTTAGAGGAGCAATGGGACTCAGGGGGAGATGACAATAATTTTTTTAAATTTATTTTTATGTATTAGGTACAGGGTCGCGCTACACATCTTGGACTCATAGTGATCTTCCTGTTTTCAGCCTCCCCAGCACTAGGATCACAGGTGTGTGCCACCATGCCCACTTGGTCTTGGTGGCCAGCTCAGCATGCCCAGGGGTGGGGCCAGCATGGCATGGGGTACTGGAGATCAAACCCTGATCTCTGCACTTGCCTAAGCCAGTACTTAGTCCGTTGAGCTAGTGCACCATCCCAGAAGATACTAAAATGAAAGAAAAGGGCCCTACTGTATGCTTCCATAAAATGCTGTGCCTACCTCTATAACTACCCTCACTCCTCTTAGAGAAATTTTGCTTTCTCATCTGTTTCTCTCACTAGATCTGAAACACCTCAAATGGAGACCCTGCCTATGTTAGTTACCCGTCACTGTGGTGAAACATCTGTGTTAATCAACTTGTAAAGAAGATTTATTGGGGTCACTGTTTCAGAGCTATCACTCCAGACTCACTTGCCTCCCCCCCCCGCATTGTTTTTAAGCCTGGGATGAAGCAGAATGTCATGGTAGTAGTGCATGGCACAGGAAACTGCTAAAAGCATGGTGTCTTGGAAGCAGAGAGAGAGGAAGGCCTGGGATCCTGATATCCTCTCAAGGTCACATCCCAGTGACATAACTCTCTTCTGTCAGATCCTGCCTCCTAAAAGTTTACCATATTCCAACAGCACTACAGACAGCAACCAAGCATGCAACCAAGAGTGTGGACCACGTTTAAGATCCAGGCCATAATATTCTCATAATTGTCTTGTATTCTCCAAACCAAGCCCATGTCTGGCAAATAAGAGATGCTTAATAAATAGTTGATGGATTGAACGTTAACTGTACTGATAAAATTAATAAATCTGTTGAAGCAGAGATCCAAAGGAGAGAGATGGTGGAAAAATCCCAACTTGCTGATGAAATGAGAAGAGTAAGACAGAACAGTTGGGACACTACTGGGATGTTTCAGCATATAGAAATGTTTCAGCATGTAGAAGCACACAGGGAATCTATCTTTCTGCATTTAGAGTCTAATAAAGATCTTCTACTATACTTGTAATAGTTCTGCTCCCAACCAGTTCCCACAGGATAATATCTGCCAAGTTCTCAGTAGGACTGTTAGAAAAAGGAGGGAAGGACAAAAAACCAAAAGTAAAGAGATTTACCCTCCAGTAAAACCTAAATATTAAAGTATAGACAGTTCAGCAAAACTATACCAGACCCAAAGCAGGAGGCTAGAGATAGACACACAATAGGAAACAGCTCTTGATAATCTAATAGAAATAGACATAAAATAAATCACTACAATACATCATGAAGCATCATAACAGACATACTGAGCTTCTACTTTTTCCCCAAAGCAGAGGATACCTGGATACCAGATTCAGTCTGACCATCACTCACACAGACAGCTCGTCAGGCTCATAGTCAAGCTCAGAAACTGTTTCCTGATAGCTCAGCCCTGCTTCTAGTGTTCCTGCACTCGGTTGTCAGCAGGTAAGAAGAAAATGACACAGTTTTGATGACGCGGCACTAGCTCTTCAGTCAGGGCCTCTGCTGCCATAGCGCAGCAGGACAGAGGATGGAGTACAGTGAAGAACTGGAGCCCAGTCAATTTTCTCCTAGTTGTCATCCAAGAGACTCTTTAATACTGCACTCCCTTTGACATCGGGGTCCTTCATAGCCCTCTTAACCACCCACGTCTCGGTCTTTTTTCACAGATGTGATC